GGGCGGAAGGCACGGGGCCTCCCCAGGTCCACCGGGGGACCCTGTTGCCGCTCACGGGGGGGGTCGGGGAAGGCCACCAGTCCGTCCTACATCCCGAGGCCCTCCCCCTATCCTCTTCCTCCTCCTCCTCCTCCTCCTCCTCCTCCTCCTCCTCCTCCTCCTCCTCCTAAAGGAGGAATCCAGAGCCGAGGCCGGGACGGTCCTGGGCCAGGTCTGGTGCCGGTTGTTTGAAGGGTGAAAGAAGGGGTCTGCAACAGGGGGTCTGCAATGGGCCATGGGGGATGAATGGCCCATGTATGCTCAATATATCGCTCATGTATGTGATCGGGTGCGATTGGCATCCAATCTTGGCGGTCATGGAGGGCCAGTCGTTCGTGCCCGCGCGTTGCCCGCGCGGGCAAACGCGCCGTCCATCCATTATCGTTCATGCGGACGGTCGTTCTTGCATATCGCGCGTGGGGCGGCGAAGTGGGTTGCAAGTGTGTCTTGGTTGTGCGATTGATGATCGCGTATGTTCCCAAACGGACCCCTAAGACATATTGGACTGGGCCCCGCGATTCCCCCAGAATGTGAATTCACAATTTCCTTTTTCCTGAAAGTGTGAATTCACATTTTCCTGTTTCGCAGGATGTCCGAAATGTGAATTCACATGTTTCTTTTTCCCAAGTTGTAAATTCACATTTTCCTTTTCCCAACATGTGAATTCACATTTCGTTGTTCCCCACAATGTGAATTCACAATTTACCCTGGCCCTCAAGATCCCCCAAACTGAGGCGCAGTGTTCCGCATGTCAGGCTGGCTGGGCAGATTTTGACACTCACCTCGCCGCTTTCGTTTATTCCAACCTTCTCTTTTTGCGTCCTCGGCGCACGTTGCTTTCGCCGCCTTTTCCCAGCCCCCCCGCCTCCTTGCTTCGTTTACCCTCAAGTCTCGCGCATGGGTGCAGGCGGGGAGCTTCAAGTGGTTTCCCCGCCGAACACAGCAATCGAGGATGTATTGTTCATGCGTGGCCCATAGAGACACCACTGCCAGGACCCTGCGCCCGACCCCCACATTCATTCATCAATTTGTTTTGGCCAGCGCTTTCACGACGCACCCTTGGGGTGTAGCAAATTTGGTCAGCTTTATGAGCATATCCCCGAGCTCTATATCGCAGTGACAGACCTCTGTTCAGAGGAGGAATAGGGACCCATATCGCTACCCTTTCTTCGCCTCGTTTTCTTCTTTTTGGGCCTCCCTGGAGGCCCTCGTCGCCACCGGTGGACTCGCCTCGAAATCCTTGTCAGAACGCACCCGGGGAGAGGTCTGGGGAGTAGCGGTATCGGTACTTTCTGGTTTCCACATTTGTCGGCCAGAAAATATGAGCCGGATTTGTGTTGCAATGTTTGGCATTTGGAGGACAGTTCTTGCTCCGGGGCCGTCGAAAAACGTTTCGGGATGAAGAGCCAGCCACCAGAACAAGGACGAGAGTTTCGAAACGGCTCGAGTCGCAGGAGCGTGGGCGGCGGAACGCACTTACATATGCATTTCTCAGAGTTCACGTGCCATCCTACATCGCAGTTTTGGTTCCGTGCTTCTCCCGCGTGGTTCGCCCCCCTTTCCGCGCAGCGAGGCATCGTTGACGTTTTTCGGCTCCAGCGTCGTCTGTTTGTTTCTCCTTTCGAGCCTGGACAACCTCCCGCTGCTCATCGGGGCGCCCCGCAGCGCCTCGCCGCAGCGAGCGTCAGTAGGAGGAGGAGGAGGAGGACGAGGAGGAGGAGGAACAAATCAAGCCACCTCACGTGTGGGAGCTTGATGACTCAGACCGAAGCCGCCTCAGGCGGAGTTGCGCAAAGGGGCCTTGCGGGCTTCTGGCGAGCCTGAATCCGAGCCTGCAGCGCGGCCATGCCTGGGGTCGATGTCAGGCCAGAGGACGAGGCGGGCAGGCACTGGGCAGCATAGGCAAACAACGGTCCCCCAATTCACGCGAGGTCACATTCACCGTGTTAGGTTGGCGGTTGTGAGGGTATAGGCTATACGATGTTCGACGCCAAACCGTGGGTGCGTCAGACATGTGTTTATGCTGGAATTTCTTACATAGCAAACAACAGCATGAAGGTGAGTATGGTCCGCGTACCGTACAGATGAAGAGAGGCTGATGTTTGTCGCCGTTTTCGACGATGCGTTGGGCCAGTGAATGGCCCAAAGAACAATCCAGAACCCCACGCATGGTCCTGCTTGGGCCCTTGCAGCCTAACATGGGGCGCTCGAAGGGATCCGACGAGAGCTTGAGACACCGAAGGTATCTGGCACGGTCCTGCCCAAGATCCTGCCACGAATGGCAGTCTCCAGAACGTAAAAACGCCACCGAGGAACCCCACTGTCTAAGGCCCGCAGTGGCATTTCACATTCCACCCTGCTTTGCTCGGATTTGCTATGGGTGCGCGTCTTTGTGATGCGGCGAAGCATTCGGCACCGATTTCCCGGTGCCACGCCTGCCACGCTTTGCAAGCGTATGACGGGCAGCGCCCTCCACCCCTGGCGCACCCTCTCCAGTGTCCAGGAAGTGCTACGCCTGCCACCCCATGCACACTTCCTCTGGTGTCCAGGAAGTGCCACGTCTGCCAGTCTCTGCGAGCGTGTGACGGACAGCGCCCCCACCCCCTGCGCACTCCCCCTGATGTTCAGGAAATTTAACACCTGCCACGCTTTGCGAGCGTACGACGGATAGCGCCCCCACCCCCTGCGCACCCTCTCCTAGTGTCCAGGCAGTGCCACGCCTGCCGTGCGCGCGGATAGTGTGTGTGTGTGTGTGTGTGTGCATGTGTGCGTATGTGTTTGTGTGCGTGGAGGAGGAGTTGTGTATTGTTTTGCGCAGCGTCCAGTGTATGTTGCAATGAACGGACCAGGTGTACACTAGCGTTGTATGGTGCGTGTGCGGTTGCAAATGCGTGTATGTCTAGTGTGTGTGTGTGTCCGCATGCGTGTTGTTGCCGCGCCTTGCAACAGAGAGAAGAGGAGAAGATAAGGTCAGATGGGAGATGCGGGGTGGGACGCGGGCGGAAAGAAAACAATAATCCCACTAAGCAGGTGGGGGAAAACTCGGACCGGGCTAGGACGAGGACAGATCCGTTTCAGAGCGTTCCGGGACGCTCTGAGAAGACCGCGGCGTCCGAGACATCTTCCAGAACCGCAGGATCTCAGAGATTCTCCATCTATCCTTACGTATTTCTCCTCGCCCTGGCTTCGCCTTCAAAACTTAGCCCTCAGACCCGCTGTTGGGCGCTCGAATCGCTCGGGTGGGAAGGTATCGAGGACAGTGCCTATCACCCTAGCAAAGCAAACTAACCTCTTTTTCGGCACGGCACCGGCCCCCCCAATCCCGCGCGCCCCCGTGCATCACCCCACGTACCAGCCAGCGCGCACCCTCCGTCTCGACCCCCTTCTTTCGGCACGACACCGCTTCCCCCCTCCCATCCCACGCGCACCCTCTGCATTCCCCCACCCGCCAGCCAGAGCGCCCCCTCCGCCCCGGCCCCTTTGTCTAGGCACGGCACCGCCCCCCCGCATCCCGCGCGCCTCCTCCACATCCTCCACCCACCAGCCAGGGCTCCACCTCCGCCCCGACCCATTTTATTTTGGCACGGCACCGCCCCGCCCCGACCCCTTACCATAGGCCCTCCGCATCCTCCCACCCACCAGCCAGCGCGACCCCTCCGCCCGCGCCCCCTCCGCACCCCTCCACCCGCCAGCCAGCGCGCCCCCTCCGCCCCGACCCCTTTGTTTCGGCGCTGTATCGCCCCCTCCGCCCTAACCACTTGATTTTGGCACGGCACCGCCCCCCCATCCCGAGCGCCCCCTCTGCATCACCCCACCCACCAGCCAACGCGCCCCCTCCGCCCGACCACTTTATTTCGGCACGGCACCGCCCCCCCACCCCGAGTGCCCCCTCCATCACCCCATCCACCAGCCAGCGCGCCCCCTCCGCCTCCTCCCCCTTTCTTTCGGTGCAAGAGCCATGGCACGCGTGCCACTTGTTTGCGGGAGCCACCACGGGGACCTTCGCGGAGATTTGTGGACGCAACATTGTCCTCGTCGTCGTCCATCATCGTCACCCGCATTCTCCGCCCAGAGAGGTGTTTCTCGTCAGGGGCGGATTCGCGAACTCCACCTACCCGATCGACCGGCCTGCGCTCTCTCTTTTGGGGGAGGACGCGGGGGAGGAAGGAGGGCTAGGTGAAGACTGGTCGAGCGAGGGGTATAAATCACCAGAGTCAGAACACAAGCAGGGGGAGCGAGGGAGGATGGGTGCGGAGGAAGGGGAGAGGAGGAGGAGGAGGAGGAGGAGGAGGAGGAGGAGGAGGAGGAGGAGGAGGAGGAGGAGGAGAAGGAGATGGGGGAGGAGGAGGAGAAGTGATGTTGATATTCGTCTCGCCTGCTTGGTTGGGCATTCGAGGGGGGCCCTCGCCGCCACGGCTGCTGGATGCGCTCCGAAGTTTGTGTCGCAACGCGCTCCTGGACCTGGACAGGTCTTGGGGGGGGGAGGGGGAGGGAGGTGGTTTAGGCAGGGCTGTCCACGGTTCAATCGATGCGGCGATGCATGTTGGTGTTTGAGCGCGGCATCAACCAGTTCCCCCACTCTTCCACGAGACGGGTTGCGCTTGGATCTTTGTTCCGTTGCCCTCGTTCCCCCTTTTCTCGTCCCTGCTCATCGTCATTCCCCCCTCACCCTCTTCTGTCCTTGCCTCCTCGGTTCTCGTCGTCATCCTCCTCGTGATCCACCTCTCTCTTCCCACAGAGAGCTTCAGTGGACTCCAGGGTGCCCCGCGGTCTACAGAGATCTCCCGAGGTTCAGAAGATCAAACACAAACTAACCAATCAACGACATGTTCAAACAATAAACAGCACCATAAACAAAGCAATGCGAGTCAAAGCTACTAGCAAACACAGGCGACCTCAAAACAGCACCAACACAGCCAAGCGAAACAAGCCAACCAAGCCAACGACCGCACAGACAAGGCACCAACACGTCCGGCCAATCAAACAGGCAAGCAACAAAAAAACGCCCAGGCGCGCAGATCCACGGTCTCCTCCCTCCACCCGTGGAGAGACGACGAGGGGGTGGCAGAGGAGGACGCTGGTGGAGCGCGGGCCGTGCCCTCTGTTCTCGGTCTGGGCAGCCGAGCTCCCCAGAGGAGCCCAGGACACGCGGCGGGTGCGTTTTGGCAGAACTCTTGGCGCAGAGATGAAGGCGCAAGTCGTGCACGCCCCTCTACCGGAGGAATGTTCAAGGCTAGTAGAAACGATAGTCAGGTGACGATGTGTCGTGCTCTTGTTGACGATTGGTGTGTGCGTTTGATCCTTTGTGATCGTGCTCCCAAAATCCGCCTGTAGGAGGACATGCCCGACCCAACCGAAGGTGCCCCAGCGAACACAACAGACGTGAGCTCACCGCAGCGCTTTTCAAAGCCGAGGTAGGCCAGAGAAGGCCCGACGGGCTCTGCCAGCCCACGCGTGGGGAAGAAAGGAGCGTGAAGCAGAGGCGAAGGGGGGAAGCCAGAGCGGAGCACATGTGCTGAGCACTGCGTGAGGCGGTGGTGCGTATAATTCGGAAGCTCTCGATCCGGGAGTCCTTCCGCGCGGGTTTCTTGGATCTGCGCTGGGCCCCCCCGCTGGCACGCTCCACACGCCGGGGAGGGGGGTCCGGCGCGGCCCCAGGAAGTCCGCGCGGAGCACCGAAAGTGTATGTTCCTGCAGTGTTGCTGTTCCTCTAGATGGGTCCAATTCTGAAGCTCTTGTAACCTGGGAGGCAGAGGTGTGGGGGGGGGGGGCAAGCCTGCGAGCGGTTGATAGATGAGTAGGGCAAGGGCAAGCGAGCGGGCCAGGAGCGGGCGGGGGCGACCCGCGATAAGCAGTACCGAGAGGCGCCGAGGCCCACCGCTCAACAGAGCTGGAAGCCAAAACGGCTAGCCAGGTTGGCGGCTGACGCATCCCAGCGGCCAGCGGCTGGCTTGCGTGCGCGCGAGAAGCCAGAGGTTCGGCTTGAGCGAGCTTGGCACGCGACGAACTCGCAGCGACTAAGCTATGGAATAGAGAGCCGGGGGTGATGTAGAACTTGCACGCGGAAACCTCGAAGAAGCACGAATTGTGCCAGTAGTCGACGAAGTTGATGGGCATGACCAGGAAGGAGCCCGAAGCTCGCCTTCACTTGCAAGTGCCATGGGGCCGCGACATTGCAGCCCGTCATGCTGCACATGGAGGGGCAGGCCTCGAAGCACCTCAGACCGGGGCAGCGGCCTCCGAAGCCGATGAGCACGGCAGTGGTAACCCTTGCGACGCAGACCGCCGTGAATTGCTTGCTGGGGCAGCCCATGAAGCAGCACATACTGGAACAGCCGACGACAGTGTGGGATGTTCAGGGATGGGACGCAGAACGTGTTGCAGTTGACGGGTTGAATCCAACCGGCTCTAGCAGATGATAATACATTGAGGCCCTCCGTGTTGCCCAGGGAGAGCGTAGAGAACAGATGGAAGGACACAGGAAGTTGAGAAGATGCCGAGACCGCGGCTCCTGGATAGCACGCAGATCATGCCGTAGCATACAGAGCCATTCCAGGATGATTCGTGATCATACATTGCACATGCAGAGCAAACGAATTGCATCCATCCGGCCATGGAATCCATTGAGAAATGGCTGAGGTCTTCCGGGCCGCACAGGGAGAATTCGAACGTCGAATGACATGACACGAGTTGCTGCCAGACAACCGCAGGAAACTTGAAGCTGGAGCAAGCGACTGGAACCATCGCGGGGTGTGGTCGGCTTGTGCGGACAGATTGACGCTCATACGATTGTTGCGCACAGGAAGGCCGATGCCAAGAATGAGATGGCGGGCCGCTCGCGCACGGAGTTTTGAAGGAGAAGAGGGTGACGGAGGAGGGGCACGGGAGGAGGAGGAGGAGGAGGAGGAGGAGGAGGAGGAGGAGGAGGAGGAGGGGACGGCGATACGGGGCAGGGAGGAGAAGAGAGGAGGACGGAGGAGGAGGAGGAGGAGGAGGAGGAGGAAGAGGAGGAGGAGGAGGAGAGAGAGGTAGGGAGGGAGGGAGGGAGGGAGGGAGTACAAGACAAGACACGAGCACTTGCGAGTCAATGGTTCGATGTCTGGATTGAGATCTGGCATAGCATGCACAAGATGGCCCTGTGAGGGTTTTGAGTAGCGCCTACCAGCGGCGCTGCTGGGGGTCCACACCTGGGGGAAATCGCCCCCTTACGTGGCCCTCTAGGGGAAACTTATCCCCTACGCATCGAGGTGCGAGTCTTGAGGGCGCAGCCTTAACAGTGCAACAGCTCACCATCCTGAGTTGGCATAGACGCATCATTGGGGGGAGGAGAGAGGAGGAGGAGGAGGAGGAGGAGGAGGAGGAGGAGGAGGAGGAGGAGGAGGGAGGAGGAGGGGAGGTGGAGGTGGAGGTGGAGGGAGGAGGAGGAGGAGGAGGAGGTCGGCGGCGCGCCTGGGCGCCCGGGGGGAAGTGAGAAGGGGCAGGCCTTCTCGAAAGGCTCGGAAGTTCCCAGGCCTTCTGAGAGAAATTTTCTGAGCCTTCCCCGAAGACAGAAAAACTTCTCAGAAGGTGCGAGGGCTTTTGAGAAGTCCCGCCGCCTTCTGAGAGGGCCTTCTCCTTCTCATTGTCCCCCCTCGCTTGCCGTCGGGAAGGAGGTGGAGGAGGAGGAGGAGGAGGAGGAGGAGGAGGGGGAGGGGGAGGAGGAGGAGGAGGAGGAGGAGGAGGAGGGGGAGGAGAATGGCCGAGAGAGCAGGGGAAAAATGGGAAGGAAACTCAACTGAGGAAGGGGATGGATCACTATATAGCCATGAGAACAACTTGGGAGGCCCTCCAGGGTAGGCTTATCAGATCTATGTGGGGTCCCAGCTTGATGAACATGGAAACTGAAGATCATCGTATTCTAAAATTGGCTTGGGAGTATGAGACTAAAGGCTGGTGAGGGCGGCGCCATTCAGAGTCCGTGTGTTCACAACATGACTAATGGCCTTCGGCCCATCCCCCCCACCGGGTCTGGGTGATTGGTATGAGGCCTCTTGGACGGTCGTTGGGATCTCGTCGAGGGCTCTCGGGGGCCTCCTGGAGGCAGTTTCGATGCTTCTGGGGGGCTGGGTTTAATCCTCTTGTGGGCCTCCTGAGGGCATCTTGGGTCCTCGTGGGAGCCTCCTGGGGTCCTCGTGGCTTGCGGCCTCCTGGGCGCCTTTTGGCACTGAAGGCTCGGATTTTCAGTGTGTGTTTCCTGGGCTTCCCTTGGGGCCGCCTTCGGACCCTCGTGGGGCGTTTTGGGCGCCTCTTGGGCCGTCTTGGGGCCCTCTTGGGGGCCTCTGTGCCCACCTTGCGGCTGCCTTGGGGGCCTCTTGGGAAGCTCTGGAGCGTCGGAAGCTAGAAAAGTGGACAGCCCAGAAAACATTAAAATACCTGAGATAATCAACGATTCTACCCTGGTGGGGCCCTCTTGGGAAGGCTCTCGCGGCTCTGTTGGGGCGTCTCGAAGATTTCTTGGGCCGTCTTGAGCCCACCTTGGGCGTCTTGGAAAGCTCTTGGGTCGCTTCGGAGGCCTCTTCGACCCTGCTGGGGGCTTCTGGGGGCCTCTTCGCCAGTTTGGGGGGGCCCTGTTGGGCGGGGGCACCGTCCCAGAGGCACACCCTGGCAGCGCCCAGTAGCGCCTGGGAAGCCAGGGGTCCAGGCCCTTGAGAACCGTACAAATCCTCTACCCCTCAGGGCTGAATGAGCCTTGGGGCACTCCACAAAGTGCGCGCTGAAGGCACGTCGGTGGATTCAGCATCCTCTGGGACCCAGCAAACGAGACAATTCTGATTACTGTTCCTGACTGCGGCTGCCTACGCCGCCTTTCATGTTGACCTGCTTCTGCACTGCCTCGTGAGAAAGTCCGATCCGAGCAAACAACTTCTCCGCGTCTCTCTCCATTGCTCCTCTCGGTGCCGATCCTGGTTTGAACTTGCCTCCTTGCTGTTCCACTCTTGCACGCATTGCTGGACGAAGCGAAAGTACTGAGTCGGATAATCCTTGGTCCTGAGGGTGTGCTGCGCTGGTGCCACCATGAATTGACATTTGACCATCTGAAGCTCCTGATTTTGCTTACTGTCGATACAAGACCCCGTGAACGAAGGA